CGAAAGATGTGAAACAATAGTATTCTATTTATAAACACTCGTGGCAGAGAAATTAGCTGTCTGATCTAGCTTGTTCAGATTTGATTTCGGTATATTTTAAGCGGTTCCACTTTTGGACACCACACTTACAACTCTGATCCGCTAGATGGGGTGTTCGAAGGGATTTGTTTTAAGGTTTATATTTCCCAGATATTGCTATTAAAAGTTTCCAAACGCAATGCCTTATTTACAAAACTCGGAATCCCAGGCCAGCTTCGAACCTACGGTTACTCTTTCTGGGGAATCTGGTGCTAGTCGCAGCGCCACCGATGTCTTTGGTTTGTCTTTCTTTCGGCCAGATATTTACTCTAACGGTGCTACTGGCCATCTCCAGTCAACGGAAGTGATCTGAGGACCACAAATCAGCACTGAAGCCAGTTAAGCTGAATCTGCAGTTAAAATTGCGGTGTTAACTTGTGTGTTTACTTCCTATTGTTATTTTTCATGACAGCGTACTATGTGAATTACCGGCTAAAGAATTGGCTGAAAGAAAGGCAATGCAACGGCCTTTCTGGTGCACTGGGCAACACATAAGCACCCGGAAATGTAGTTGCGATTTTGAGTCTGACCTGGGGTTCCGAGCTCTGCAAATATCTCAGCATCATTGTGGATATATTTCACATAATACCCTGTCATGGAAAAAGAATGAGTATTAAATAAAAAATTGAATACATTGACTTGTTCTCAGTATTGTCTCTGAAGCGCATATTGGATCGTTAGATATACTATCGTTCAAAGTTACGAGCAAGTCTCTTGTTCAACCCGCTTCGATCCAGCTAAGACCTTCCCTTGGCCGTCGGTTATTGGGTACCAGATTTGTCTGAGAGGGTAATATCACTGTCTCGACACATCGATAGCCCCGTTAAACTCTTTGTGTAGGCGTCATACCAATGTCTGCGAGTGGTGTCCAATGCGTGGTGTATCCTTGAGAGATTAATCAGCGTGAAATTTTTTATGGTTTTACTACTCTGTGCTTTTTTTCTACTCTAGAGTAGTTGGTCTCAATGTAATCATCGTCTCTAATCTTTTTCAACTATCACATAGCCCTATAAGCTTCATCATAGTGTATCTCGTGATTGATGCATAGATTCTAACGGAATTGGATACAGTAGGAATAGGAAAAGTAAAATTATGCTCTTTAAAAAACCCTTGGAAGTCTCCCGAAAACACCAATGTATGCAATTTTAACCACAATATTACTGAGATATTTACAAAACTCCGGACCGCAGGCGTCTGCGACAGCGAACGAACGTGCTATTGTCCTTTCCGGGCAGTAATGCGTTCACCACCACACCATGCGAGTCCTTCGTTTCGCCTGTCTCTCAGCTAGTTCTATCGATCAGTGCCGTCAGCAATCACCCGTCAACGGTATTGATCTGGGGAGCGCACGTCGGCATTGAACCCAGTTAAACTGAGGCTGTAGTTGAATTTTTATTTCGCTTAATACCTTGCCATAAAAATTATAGAAGGCAGAAAATAAAAACTAAACATTATGCAATTTTAGTTCTAATTCTAATGTCTTCTAGTTGTGCTGAAACGAACTTTAAGCCGCATTTTTTAATTTTACGTAACCCGACATCATATATTTTGTGGATGCCGGCACCTTTTCCATTTGACTCATTTCTTCAAATTCGTCATCCTCGAAGGTCTCCGGATTCCTGTGTAGGTTCGGCTGCTTACCGAGGATTTATTAATGAATGCAGCTGAATGATATTCGAGTCGATTGTCCCCGGAATTCTGTGATCCTAGAACATTCCCAGCTCATTACCAAGGGTAATCACCATTACCTTTATGGATCGAGTAGTTCAAGCATTTCTGGTACAATTTAATGACCGTAGAGGAATGGAAGGTTATTTGGCTGTGGGGTGATCGAACAAGGGCTTGCATGTATCGTCGAATGGCATTGAATCATTATTTTGTTACCTTCGTCCCTCGTAACAATAACTAATGCTAAGTGAGTACCATCGAGTACATTGTTTCCTTTGTGATCTGGAAGAAGAAAAGAAAAGAAAAAAGAAATTAAACATTCCTCATATAATAGTTTCTAAACTCAGGGCAGTGTCGTCATTTCATGATAAGCACGAGATTGCGTACCCACTCCACGGTAAGAAACCCAAAGTGTGCGATGTGAAGGACGCCTTCAAACAGATCAAATCAGGTGCGAAATAATAAAGAACTTTAGCTCTATTTTCTAAGAACACAGTTCGTTTGAAGTATTATTATCTGTTATATAATCGTTATATCTTTCTTATCTGCATATTCGCATCTTTTTTCATCTAGATACGTCCCCTTTTTTGAGTGCTTTGCCTAATATGCGATTATTGATTGATCTGAGAGACCTAAATATTTGTCTAAAATTGCTGCTGTTGTAAATATTTGTAGAAACTCTTCCTGGTATTCATTCTAGTTGTTAAGGTGGAATCTTATAACTGATGTCAATCTGCTAACCATCGTTACCTATTGCGTCTTGACTCTAAGATAGTTTACTTACTTAATTCGTTTGCATGTTTAAAATTTGGCACTGAAATTGCTGGGACCATCTTAAAAGCGCGCTAAATTAGCAGTTTTTCCGCCCAACTAGGATTTAATAGTATGTCTTCTCGACCTACCTTCGACTTTTCTTATTCTCTTCGTAGAACCACTCGATTGCAGGGACTCTTAGAGTCGTTACTTGTTTTGGTCATCGTAATTAATCAGTGTTGTGAGCGTAAAGAATAGAATAGCTTTGCATTCTCTTCCCCAATACTTACTGCTTTTGAAATTACTCATTTCTTCTACTTTATTCTTATTTTCACATATTTTAAGTCACCGTTGGTTCAATGAGATTCATATGACACACACTGCTACTTAAAGAGATCACGTCAACAAAATGAATTGACTGAAATCTTCTTGAGATGTACTGTATCATTTTCTTGCCATAACTCGGAACTTAGGACGAGTGTGATATAGCGGTTAGACGTATTTCACATGTGGTCATTAGTTCGATCCCACGACTCTGGTTCACCAGTTTTTCAATCCCTCTAGGGTCGTCAAATCATTACCAGATTTGTCTAGGATCCATGGTTCATTTCTCAAGGAGTGATCAACGCTTAGAACTTTGTACTTTCTCTTTTTTACTCAGAATTCTTATTTCTGTCCCAAGAATTAAGCCTTTTTTGACGACCATTCGATGAAGCTAAAAAAGCTCTCGGCGTTGATCAATCCCTGAGGAGTGCAGAGGATTCGACTTCATCAAGGATCGAGGTGTTTGAATACATATCTGGCCTTTACAATAGTTCGCTGTACCCTACCGATGTATCGAGTCAGTGGTGCTATCCTCCCAGACAGGTGTTGTACCAGTTTGCCTGCCCCGAAAGGATGGGGAGACTAGGGTGCGAGTTCGAACCCACATGTATTCAGTATTGCAGGGAATTGAGGAATTTCGAATGTTTGATTTGAAGCTCTGCATGGGTTTCAAATTTTATTAGATAGAAATAAGGAGAAGTCCGTTGTGTCATGTTCGTTTTGATAACATTGCCATGTTTTTTTGCCTGTAATCACTTTCCGTAGAAGCGTAATTTTTCCATATAGGTCTAGACTCCTCCGTAATCTGACTAGATCATCGGTGTTTGGGTGCGGTTGAGTCCACTCTCAAAAAAATTTCCTTTGTAGAGCTATAACATAAACTTCGAAAGCTTTGAGAGCCATCTCGCAGTGTTTTCACAGACAAATGCACATTTTTAGAGAGCATTCAATTAGCATTTCTTAGACCAACTGCAAAGCACTATAGCATATGGGGAGCGCGAACAGTCATGTCTTTGTCGAGGCATTGTACCAACTTGTGTCATAAATAAATATTTTTTCCCTGAGCGGACCTATGGTGGTCCAAAAATTGTTGCTTACAACCTCGCGTCTGCTCAGGTAGAAGACATTAGCGTAGATTAATTCCGAGGTCAATAGAAAGTCAATGCTGGAGGAAGAGATTAACGGACTGGTTGATGACGCTTTCCATCAGAGAGCAAAGCGCTGGTTCGGCCACCTATCAAACGTTCTTCGCGCTCATGATCGGCTATCTCCGAGGATACAAGGAGCATAGAGTAAATTCGGCCAAAATTCTACGACATTAATGAAGAAGTCGAAATTTGAAAAAGAAGCAGAAAAAACGAGCGAAATATCTTCTTGGATTATTAAGGTGACACGAAGTTGATAAAAAGTTTATTCGGCTGACGTTTCGACGTGTTCATCTTCTTCAGAGTTGTTTTGATCCTGATCGATGGTCCACAGCTGCCGTTGTGGCATCGAGTCGAATCCATTGGAGGGAGCACCGCACGGGAGTGGAACTTCACTTGGCGGTGCCTTTCTATACAGAACGGATGTTCAGCGCTTGGCGTCATCCAATATGATCTACTTTGGGTGAACAATACATCCTGCATCAATCGGTATTCTATCAGCTAGCACATAGTGAATCAATATTTTTTAAAACGACCGTCATTAACTCCAACATTATTGGTCAATACCTTCTTAGGTTATTAAGCTGAACGGAGAGTGATTCTAATCAGATGACCAAACTCATCCCAAAAACAGCTCTTCTGTATAAATTATTAGGTAGAGAGCATAGAGAGCATAGGTTTTAAAGCAGTGCACCTGGAAGAAATATTTACGTTGAATAGGCTATTGAATGAAATCAAAGGATTTGGCAAAACAACTCTGTGTGGAGAAATATACTGCACGTGAATCGCATGTGATTCATGACGTCCGTTCTGCCCTCCGACTTGTGAATCATTTATGACACGCGGATTCGTTGCGTCGCAAATTTGTTAAAGAAATACATGTAGATGAAGACGATTGGAAAAGGTGCTGAGATATAGGGGTTGGAGATTCGTAAAAATGTAATCTTGTGTGAAACTTTTATCAGGGAGAATAATATATCTACTAGGGTTAAGCTAGTGACCAGCGAAATCAAATTTACACAAAATTCGGACATTCGAATACATCAGACATATCAGTAGTAAAATTTCAACTCTAGGTGACAACATATTTGTACATGGAATTGCCGCGACACCTACACCACTTCTCAAAGGTCTGTGCGAGTATGTAAAGGCGAACGATCTTAAAGGAATCAAACTACATCATCTTCATCTGGAAGGAGAGACGCCTTGGACTGCTGAAGATGTCAGAAGTGAGTAAACGACCTCTGACAATGGCTGTTTTTTTCTTCGTTTGTTCATTCGCTGTCGAATAAATTTAAGGTCGAATTCGATCAAACTCGCTGTTTACTGGCGCTAACCTTCGGAAAGCTGTTAATGAAGGTCCGGTCGCACTTCCGTTTTATAAGCTGATTTCTCTGGAATGTTAGGTTATTGCTAAAGTTCATTATTCATAGTTCTATTCGTTTGTTCAATAGGTATCGCTGACTTCAACTCATGCTTCCTACACGAAGTGCCAATGCTGTTTCGTAAGGGTGCGATCAAGCTCAACGCTGCTTTAATTCACGTAGGCTCTAGTTTCTTATTGAGTAAATAAATCATTTTTATTCCTTTCAGTAATTTCTAGTTCTAAGTAAACGTAAATTTCCCGTTCACGCACTTTTGTTCTCTGCAGGTCTCTCCTCCAGATGCAAATGGATACTGCTCTTTAGGTACATCTGTGGACACGTCAAGGGCGGCTGTAACAAACGCTGATCATATTATAGGTGTGTCAACCTTCACTCGTATTTATGCTGTTTTTTTTATAATTTGGACTAATGGTAGTGTTCTTTTAAGCAATGTCAAATAAGCATATGCCACGGACTTTTGGTGATAGTCTTATTCATTCATCTCACATTGACGTTCTTGTCGAAGACCACACATTTCCTCTTCATGAAAGACATGTTGGTAAAGGTAGTGAAGAGGAGAAGAAAATTGGTACAATCATTGCTGAGAATTTGGTGGATAATGGCGCTACACTACAGATGGGTGAGTTTCACGAGTTAAAATTCGTAACCATATGAGTGGAGTCAAATAGATGAGGGCAATTGAAGAAGTAAGGAACAGGTGGAGTGACGAGAGATCCGTAAAAATTGCTATGTCTTATAAAACTTCTGTGAGGGAGCAGAATAAGTTCATCAAGAACAGCTAAAGAACTGTGAAGTTGGCCTGCGCGAAACTGGAACATTCGTATACTTCAGAAAACACCATTAGTAGAATTTAATGTTTTGAAATTTAAGTCGAAAAAAGTAATTTCCAATGTAGACCCTGAATAGGAAGGCAATATTGGCGAGGGTTTTTAAAGAGGTGTATTCGGAGTGTTGTTCGAACCTAACCTAATTATTTAAAAACTTTTCATTAAAATCATTATGTTTTAGCGATAGTAGAATTTCTTTTTCAATTAAAATTTTTTTCATTGATGCTTGAGATATTCGCAAAACACAGACCCTAGGCCAGATTCGAACCCGTAATTACCATTTCCAGTTGCTACATATTACCCACTGCACTACTTATGCCTTCTTTTTACCTTTCTATCGGCCAGTTTTTCTTTACCTTAACGGTACCGTCATCAATCACCCATAAACTGGAATGATCTGGGGAGCATAAATCGGCATTAAACCCCAGTTAAGCTGAGACTGCAGTCGAAGTTACAAAGTACAAAGTTTTAGCTACTTCCACCCTTATCTTTTTTTGCCTAAGAAAAAGGCGGAACGAAATCTTCAGTGGTGCAGTGGATAACACGTGAGCTCCCGAAAAAGGTCATCGCGGGTTTGAATCTGAACATATTAGGATTACTGTGTTTCTTTTGGTTTCATTCTCTTTACGCGAAAAAACCATAGCCCTTCATAGATTTTGAGCTTGATGACGGCGTTTTTAGGTATTGGGACCGTGCCAGATGCTGCTCTATCAGCTTTGAAACATCACAAAGATCTCGGTATTCATACAGAGATGTTCTCGGATGGTGTTTTAGATCTTATTGCCTGCAATGCGATTACAAACAGCAAGAAGGTTGTCACATAGTTTGCTTGTTTGCTTTTTGTTCTGTTCTCCCGTTTGAGATCCCCTGGTGGGATTTATCGCCTTAATTTTGATAAAGCACGAACAACTATAGTTTAGGTGCTACATCCAGGAAAACTTTTGGTTTCGTTCGTTTATGGCTCGGCCAATTTGTACAATTTTTTGCACGACAACCCTTTGGTCGTGTTTGGTGATGTTCAGTGGGTGAACGATCCTGCTGTTATACGACAGAATCCCAAGGTTACCGCCATTAATTCTGCTGTGGAAATTGATCTCACAGGGCAAGGTTAATGTTCTGCTAAATTTTTTATGCTTATCATACTTGTATTGTACAATATCATTTGTAGTTGTTTCTGACTCTGTCGGAAAGCGCTTTCTGTCTGGATTTGGTGGTCAAGTGGACTTTATTCGTGGTGCGGCAATTAGCGATGATGGCCATGGAAAGCCAATCATTGCCTTGCCCTCAATCTCGAAGAACGGGCAGAGCAAGATTGTTCCCTACATCAATGAGGTTAACAACCTCCTTAACTTCACTTAACTGTTTACCTGCTTTCCTTCTGTTGATTGCACTTTCTTAAGTGTTCCGCCGGATTATTGGTGTTCAACGGTTTTTTTTTCAAACGATTTGCTTTGTTCTTTAGGGTGCTGGTGTCGTCACATCCAGATCTCACGTACATTATGTGGTTACGGAGTACGGTATTGCGCAATTATGGGGAAAGAATATGAGGCAGCGTGCATATGAATTGATAAAGATTGCTCATCCGTCGCAGCATGAATTTCTGGAGAAATCAGCTTTTGAAAGGTTGAAGGTGAGTTTGGGTTGTTTATTTAGGAGGATGGTTTGGTCTGTTTGCATTGAACCATCTGTATATCTCTTTCGTGTTCGTTTACCGCATACGTTAAAATCTAAATTGATCCAGTCAATATTGAAGGTGTAAACCCTTCCTTTCCTGTTTACTTACCACCATGGCTTGTTATTGCGTCTTGAATTCTAGACGCGATCCTATGTTTAGATCTTCATGATAATTTAAAATCTCCAGTTTTCTCGGCCCAATATTCTTTTCGCATAACTGCGCCAAAATTCAATAAAAAAAACATTTATTTTTAAACGTCATTCGACTAACCTCTGCGTGAATAATGGACATATTTCCTTAGATTTTAACTTATCATTTACCGCCCACTCTTTTTAATGGCAGGGTATTATGCGAAATACAACCACAATGATGCTGAGATATTTGCAAAACTCCGGACCGTAGGTTTCTGCGGTGGGGAACGAAAGCACTATCACGTTTTCCGGAGGCTAACGCGTTCACCACCACACCATGCGGGTCCTTCGTTTGCGGAAGTTATAGTTCTTTAGATTGTTAAGTTTGTACGAGTTTGCTAAAAACTTCATTCCGCTAGCGTTTCGGCGCCTTTGTCTTTTTTAGAGCTGCAGTGTGGACCTCGTATAAGCTGAAACGTCTAAGGAAAAAAATCATTTAACGTTCATAATTGTTTCTTTTACTTTGAACTTTGTTCATGTATAGGACTGGGAGTTGCAAGAACAAATCTTCTATAAGTCATCCGTAGTCTCAAAAATTATTGCAAAATTTGCTTGTACACTACTTAAATTCACTAATGTTACTTTTAATTCAGGTGATGCCTTCAGCGGACTAAGGAGAATGCCATTTCACAGATCGTTGATCTATCCACTGCATTACTAGTGTTTTATTTTGTTTCTTGTACAAGGTAATGTTTTCTGTTACCTCACTGATTTGTCCTTCGATCCTGACGTGCAGTGGAACCTATAGCAATGTTTTGTGATATAAATGCTAGTATCACTGGTATTTTTTGCTCTCAGCGATCTATCCAGATTCTCTGACATGCTTAGGACGACATGATTTATTTGGTCCCTAAATAAATAGGTTTTTGCTGTAACTTGTTGTTAATGTTTGCCAGGTACTGTAGAGAGATTTTTCTCAAATTTCTCTAAACTAACTTCTAATGTAATAAATATAGCAAAGAAATTATTGAATAAACGACCACAAGAGGAAAAGGAACGCTTTGGATAAAAAAGGAATTTAGATTGAAGTCGATGCAGAGAAATATGGCTCGGAGATTGGAGGAATAAATTACAACTTATAGCCTTATCTAGATGAAGTGGAAATTTGGCATTGATATGATATATAAAATAAAAAACGGTAAAGCTCTCGGCATTGACCACCCTGTTAAGGATGCGCCATCCATCCGACTTCATTAAGCGTCGTTTGGCGGTGATTGAATGCGTATCTGGCCATTGCAATGACTTGCGGTAGCCAGCTGATGTATCGAGCTAGTGCAGCTATCCCTTCAGGCAAGTCTGGTACCAATTTGCCAACCCCGGAGGGATGGAGGGCGTGGTGGACCATGGCCGTGGGGACCGATCTCACTAGTGTGTGTTGCAGGGCGCCTCCGACCACTGCACCACACGCGCCCTGATATGATACGCGTCACATGTCATCTGTCTCAGTTGTTTTCCCGTTGATCGTAGAGTGATTCGAGCGGACGCCACTAAATCTTCCATGTTTCCCTGCCGCCTGGGAACTCGTTAAGCATCATATTTTTCTTCTAGGCTTTTCGTGGAGAACTCTGACCATCGGATCGGTGGTCTTCCTGCAGTTCGTTTAACATCCCGAAGAATCCAGTCACTAACGGTTCTTGTCCATCGGTTGTCGTTCATACGTATTACGTGCCCGGCCCACCTTAACTTCGACTGTTTGGCGTACAGAACAGCATCATTGATTTTTGATCGTTGACGCAGGTCGGAACTTTGGATCCCTTCCCTTACTTGCGTGACACGGGATACTCCTAGCATCGTCTCGCTTGCTCCTGGTCAACCCTTAGGTTAAGTTGTTCATCATGTTGATTCTCTTGACCTATACAGACTTGTTGACCACTATAGACGCAGCGGGAGTATTAAGAGATAAGTCACTAACTTTTTTAAAACTCCGATATTGATCAGTAATTCACTGTTTTCTTCATGACCAAACACAAGGTTGTTATTACAGCATCAGCATTTATCCTTTCGTAGCAGCGTTCGGCTGTTTCAACCATTTCAGAGATTAGAATGGTCGAATTGACTAATCTACTCAGCGGAATACTTTGTCAACCTCAGCACATAGAATTTAATGCAAATTTTTCCTCCCACATGATGAACGACTTCTTCTAATCAATAATCGATTTGTTGTTTGCAAGTCTTCCAGTTATATGGTGGAGATCAGCAGCACAGAGCTTTACATGGGCTAAGAATATGCCTTATTCAGGTCAGAAAATATCAGCCTGCATTATGGCGCTAGGTCATACGTGATAGTGCGACACTCCTTGCGGTTCATTTTTGGATTTTTGGAATTTATCCTAATAATTCAAGAGATACACGCTGATGTTTTGGGATGGTAATCTCTACTGTAAAATTTGGCCCCTTATATCTCCGTGTTTTATGTGAGCATAGTAGAGTATTGGTTTAACCTTGCTTTTACCGATTAGATGTCCTTTTATACGGACGTAGAGTGGTCTACTATTCTCGCGTTGATATTCGTTCACACACACTTTTGACAGGGGATTAAACTGTACCTGAGCTCATGCAATCATCATTTCTACCGTTAGCGCAATTTATGCAATTTCGCATTGTGAATAGACAGTCATACAGGAGATTGCGAGCCAGCTGGCGTCTTCGATCGCTTGGTGGTATTTCAATCACTGTTGTCGAATTCTCTAAACCAGCCGGAATAAATTACCAGAAACAAGGTGACTCTTATATGGTGGATCACACCTGCAACTTGGGGAGTCGTGTATGGACAATATGGTGCTTAGGTCGAATGAAAGGCCTTAAAATGTAATTTTTCCATTTGCTAGCTCTGTATCTAACACTGTGCACAAAGTTAAACGTTTTTGTTTTCTGCCTTCTATAATTTTCATGGCAGGTTACTAAGCGAAAGATCGATAGAAATAGCTGAGAGACATGCGAAACGAAGGAACCGCATGGTGTGGTGGTGAACGCGTTACTCCCCGGAAAGGATAATAGCGCGTTCGTTCCCCACCATAGACACCTGCGGTCCAGAGTTTTGCAAATATCTCAGCAACGTTGTGGTTGTACTGTGCACAAAGTTATGCAACAGCACATAGATGCTACTATATCAATAAATTAGCGGTCTAAACTTCAATTTAACCCTTTCCGATGGAAATGGCGTGTTCTAGGCAGCCAAATGTTATGATCAAGCTATGGACTATATGCTTTCAGAAAATGTTTAAAGCTCCGGTTTACTTACCTTTTCCTACAATAATTCAAATAATAAATGAGTGAAACAATAATAATGAGTAAAGAGACAATGGCGCCATTGCTGTTCTACAACGCCCTGGTTTGACCCGTTCTTGCCAACCAAGCCATCTACCCTTCTGGAGTCGGAGAATTGCTACTAGAGTTTTCTAAGAGAAGGTCCATTTCATCAACGAGGTCCGTGACTGCAAAAGAAATCTTGGAATGCCCTAGCGTGTCTGTCCTAGGGTTCAAAGAGAGAACCAGGTTGCGAAACAGTTATCGATATTTAGAAGTAATTCAAAGTCCTTAAGTGGCAAGCGAACGCAGGACCAAATTCGAATATCTTCATGCACGACGACTGAACACAACAAATTATGTCTGGGAAGCGTTTTGTTTCTACAAGACTTAGGAACGTCTCAGCAAGGCTATTTCAGGTTTCCAATGAGAATCCAGTCGAACGTAATTGAACGATATTCAAAGAGAGGACGAAAATCCTCAAGGAACAGCCAAATCCAAATGCAAACTGGACGAAAATCAAGGGATAATTAATACGGAGAAGCGAGTCAAATGAAAGAAATGCTAGGTTCTGCAGAAGATGTGATGTCGTGTTATATGAGACAAATAGCTTTGCGCACTGCAAAATGCGAAGTTTCCATAGAACTAAAAAAGCACAGTATGAACACTGTTTACTCAGAATTTGGCTAAAAACCGTGGTTAATCCTCCTACATGATCAAGGTGTTCGATCACGTTCGAGATAGACGGCAACTCTCTTACAACTCTCTACTTTGAAGACACACCCGTAGACAGCATATCGAGAAGAAGAACGACTATGGGCATCGACTCAGATCATCATCGGAAGATTAGGACGTCGAAACGTTAGCCGAATAAAATTTATATAGCAACCTCGTGTCAACTGGCCGGTCTAAAAGAATCTATTGATTATTCACGCCGAGTTAAAGTGAAAGTCGGTTTGGTGAAATCTCCACTTTGATTAAGCATAAGAACGCCGAGATATTTGCAAAACTTGGGCCCCAAGTCAAACCGAACCACGATCACCCTTTCCGGAAGCTCGCGCGTTACGCAGTGCACCACTGAGGTCCTTGCTTTGTCTCTGTGTTAGCTAGTTTCCTCTCTAGATATTTCTGCTATTAGTAGATCATCTCATCCACACGATGAATGGGAAGATCGCGTCGTGGCAAGAAACGCATTCAACTACGACAGAAGTTTACAGCATTTTATCCAAACAATCTGGACAATGCATGTGAACTTTACCAATAGAATAAGAAGTGAAACGATTGGGTGTGAGTGTGCCTTTTATCTTAAGGTCAACCACTCCGAAACCACTACGCACTGTTGCGTTAACATTCAATGAATAGGTAATCATACCACACGAAGTCATCATCGTCGGTGTTCACCCACCGTATTGTTTCCTGGGGTGAACATTATTGCAACCTTCATGACAATATGCTCTCTGCAAAAGAGAACGGAAATTTACTTCACAATTTCAAATGCGCACATCGATGCTCGGTGTATAATTCCAAACGAAATATATGAACAACACAGACAGCATTTGTTCTTTAACCAGGTTAGTATTCAAATATTCTATCTACAATGTGAAATATCAAGTAAACATGGATTCGATATGGGGGCGAATCCATAAACCATATAGGTTTCTTTCTCGTTTATTTTCTCCAAAATACTAACTTACTTGCTACTTGAATGGACCGTCCTCACTGGTTGTGCGGGCCCCAGCATAATCTCCAATTTTCGGAGATTTGATGTTAAACCATTATGGTTTCCTGGAGTCCCGAGGTCAGCCTGGGCAAAGTCTGCCCTAGGTCTTCACCACTACCAACAGTCGCAGGCCTTGTGGATCAGAGGGAGATTTGCCACCATGTGACTTTGATACTAGGACGCTGGTGGGTTCTGGTATTGGTTTACACTTAGCTAGGCTTCCTGATGGAAACGCCGGATTCGAGCTTGGGAGACCTTACCAGGGGATGAATCCTCGCTGTACATTGAAGTCCGACAGCCAGGAACACCTCCCAGCCACGATGAGGCGGCAAACCGCTAATAGGATTTTCTCCATAATATCTTCTCTATTTGAGAATGAAAGTCATTCCACTGGTCTCGTTCTTTCTTTGCACTGCTGCTGAAAGCCCTAACTACCTACCGTAGAAAACTGAACGATCTTGCAGTGAAACGAGCTTTGAAGAAAAACTGGATAAGGGATAAAATGTTTTTAAAAACGTATGTCGACTTGTAGGAAGTCGTTTTTCCAAAATTTCGTCGAAACCTATTGCAGTTTTCTTGAATGTCCTCTTTTCGTAAGATCTTAATGGGGGTGACACAAGAAGAGTTATTGAGGAATTATAGAACGTG